ACTGGTAGGTCTATACTTAGTCACGAAGCTCTAATCTGGTGAAGTGTCTAAAAGCACCTAGACCGGATCGGGAGCTTTTGGGAAATCTGGGCAGAGCGGGTTGCCCCGAAGCCCAAACCGTGTCCGGACCCCACAGGAACCCCATATTTTTCCCCACAGGAGAAAATTGCCGGATCCCCACCTGCACGGCAGGGGGGTATGTGGGAGTCGAACCTCATTAAAAACTCCTGCCGCTCACAGCCGGCGCCCTACCCCGGACCGGGCGGGAACCCAGTCGGAGCTATTGAGACGGCGGGACAGGGTTTACGCAGAGCACATTAAATCCATCCCGCCGTCCGTCAGACGCCGGACCAGCGGCCGCCAGCGACACGACCGCCGGTCCGCTGGGTTGACGGGCCGAGAGCATGCATTGATGACGCCGCGCTACACCTTCCCCCGGAGCGATCGGGGGAATGCGGCCTACCACGCCGCCCCACGCCTGGTTTTCTCACAGGAACCCCATACTTCACCATCGATCCTCTAATACACAAACGTGTCTGATTAGACACCATTATTCAGGCATGATCGTCTGCCCCGTCGAACGCAATGGAGATTTTATCGATTTATTACTAGCAGCCGGGAACGAATATTGAATGAGCCATCTGTCATGTTTCTAACGCCTCTTGAGAATCAAAGCGATCCCCTTTTTCGAGTTCTTTTTTTTTGCATCGTTGCAGATGTAATTTAATATCTCCGAGATATCGATATGGATCGCAAAAAGTTTGCGCTTAGGAGTTTCTCTATATTGGAGTCGGTCTTGGAGATTGTGTGACGGTAAAAAGTAGAAAAATAGAAGTATAATACATAAATATTATTGTGCGCTTGAGTGTGTATTTTTTTCTTCTTTTTTTTTGGCTTTGTAGGCAAACTAGCATACGGCCCACCTGATGAAAAGTGGTCACCGTCGCTCATGAACGTCAGTAATGCCAGGGGCAGAGCCAAGTTGCTGCCTACCATTAAGTACTCCGCTATGTATTACGCTATGTTTAAAGTAGTCGTCATACTTGGTTATTGAATTATTATTTTTATTGCTCTTATAGGCAGACGAGCATATGGCCTATCTGATGGTGAGTGGTTACCGTCGCCCATGGACATCAGCAACGCCAGGGGCAGGGCTAAGCTGTCGCCTACCGTTAAGTGCTCTCCGCAAGCCTCGTTTGAAGAAGGGTGTGATCGCAGGATGTGGTTTTTATTAGTCTTATTATATGAACAAGCTCATATTCCATTTTATTGAAGGGAAACATAGGCATCACACTGTGAATGCCTTCACTCATCTGGAAATATGAGGACTCACTGGTTGTTATAAAGTCTGTCTCGCCATTCAAATCGGAATGACCGCATCGCGGCAGAAGTAAGCGTAATAGTGGTACCTACTCATACAGTCTCACAACATTCCCTACCATTAGTAAACGACAAATTACTTCCACAATCACTTCTTCAATACGCTTAAAACAAAAACCACTTTCATTATCTACGTTGCGCAACGCAAAACAAATGTATTATTTTGTACAACAACAAAAAATCTACATAAAAACAGCAGGGCTTTATTTATTCATATTAAATTATGAAACATGCCGACCCAAAAGGAAATGACCTGGCTATTCTTGTCGGGCGAAACGAAAAACAATGAATTTTTTGTGGTAATCTTAGTTTAACTCCGTGTACAACATGACCGTGAGCGAGTTTAGATCTAAACCCTTTTCATGTTACGCGGGAAAGCTAATCCTTTATACGAGCTGGTTTTTAATTCTGAAAACACACAATGAGAATTATGTGAATTAATTTTGCACTTTGGTTTTCAATCATTTTTAAGGTTAATTTTCTGGTCAAAGGAACTAGAAGACAGCATTTTAGAAGACAGTATTTCGTAACCTTGTATAATTTTTTTAGTATGGATTGGTACCGATATCTTTGTCTTTCGCTTAACAATCATGTTATAAGCTCTCGTCGTATCTATGCAATTCAATAGAGTCGTCGTGGCCTAAGGGATAAGACGTCCGGTGCATTCGTGTTGAGCACCGGTGCACCGGTGTTCGAATCCTGCAGGCGGGTACCAATTTTTCTAATTAAATACGTACTCAACAAATGGTCACGATTGACGCAAAATTATAATTTGCTTGATTACTGGTGGTAGGACCTCTTGTGAGACCGCGCGGGTAGGTACCACCACGCCGCCTATTTCTGCCGTGAAGCAGTAATGCATTTCGGTTTGAAGGGTGGGGCAGCCGTTGTAAATATACTTGAGACGTTAGAACTTATATCTCAAGGTAGGTGGCGGCATTTACGTTGTAGATGTCTATGGGTCCCGGTGACTGCTTAACACTTACTCACACTTAACACTAGGTGGACAGTGAGCTCGTCCACCCACCTAAGCAATAATAAAAAGGACATAAAACATATCAAACAGATAAGAGAATGTGTTTAATCTAAGAAGTTAATAAAATGTTATGAAACTTTTTTTGTACGCTCGCAATGTTATAAATTGCTGTTTCAAACTTGCTAAGTCGATATACGTACGTAATACTTAAGTTACGTAACGTAAAATGGGTTCAGAAGTGGCTTCCAGGTTTGGCGAACCGAGAGCAATGGATTTACATTGTTAATGGAAAGGGAACTGATTGGTATGAAACCACTTTTGCGTCGGCCAGTGTAAGCTAATAAAACCTTTTTATTTCCACAGCCTTATTACAAATTCGCGTAAACGACTTCCACACAGTAAAGGTTATCCGGTTTTTAGTACGATTATAAAATCTCCAGGTTCAAAATAATAATCGTGGAAGTCGTAAGCCGTAAAGATTACGTTTCATATTGCGCGTAAGTCAATATTTAGTCCGAAGCCCGTTCGGGATGATTTAATCAAGGCCCCGTGAATAAAATATAATGAATTGTTCTTCGTTTTTTTTTTTTTTTTACGAGTTCAAGCGAAAGTTTCATGTTTCTCGTAGTTAAAATATTATCCCGAGTCAGAATTCGTTCGCGTGGTCCGTTGTCATGAAAACCGTCAGGTATTTGTATTACAGGACTGAATAAATTAAGAAAGAGTTAATGGTCTTTTACCATTGTTGTATAATTGTTTTTTCTTTGGATTTAATATTGTTTTTTATATTCCTACACAGATATATGAATATATTATAAAATACTATTTTCTTTTTCTTCTTCTATCTTTTCTTCGTTTTTCTTCGGCCGATTTTGGCGAGTCGTAGAGACAATTACTCTCGTGATGTTAACTTGACACTACCTAAAGAATTCTGAAGAGACCGAAACAGGTAGAAATTTGAAGGTGCAAGTTCAGAACTATATGGCTGATGCATTAACACCTCCCAGCCAAGCTCTTTCAATTTTTGCTGAGTGGTTGAAGATGTGTGAGATCTAACGTTATCATGATAAAAAACCACACCCATTCTGTTGATTAATTCCGGCCGCTTTTATTTTGAAAACTTTTTCCCCAACCTATTATTTAGTTTATAATCATAATTATTCATCTAATTTTCGCTACCTACCTTATTAATATAAAAATTTATACTCACAACTGGAGGAGAGTATGAGTTCTCATATTCCAATAGACATTATTTTCCAAACCATCTTGAAATTAAAATTAGCTTGTCCCGATTTAACTATTCACGGAACTGGTATAGAACCTGAATTACTAAAGGATGGAATTAATGGACTCTAGTTGTCTAGGAACTGGTAGAATCTGAATTATTAAGGGTGGAATTACTGGACAGTCTATTTGTCTATCATAACTGTATATAAGAATGTGGGCTCTCAATACACCGTATAAATGAAAAGCATCATACCGCCAAATTCTCATTTGTTTGTTTCCCACTAAAAAAGATTACCACTCAAACTTATTTATTCACTTACAATTATCAGCAATTGTCCAAAATTCGTCTAAATACAATTAGGCTAATTGATTTTACTACAAAAGTGCTATCGTCAGTCTGATTGTAAGGAAACAGAACGTCGCGTAATTGTTTTTCGAACGAAGTTAGGGAAAATATTTTCTTTGGAGTGGATACTTGAGTGCTCTTAGGTATTGATGAGATTGCTGTAGAATTGGGATGCTCTATTTTATTCTTTTGATTTTGTAATGTTTTTTTTTTACTAAATACTACTTACATATTCATGATTAAATACGTATCTAGGAAGAGGCTTGTGGTAGGGGTTTTGTGAGTTAGGATAAATATAACTGTCACGAAGCATTTGATTCCTGAAGACGAAGCCACTGTAGAAACTATGCCGTTGTAACTATACTGAGACCTTAGAACTTATGTCTCAAGGTGGGTGGCGCATTTACGTTGTAGATGGGCTCCAGTAACCACTGAACATCAGGTGGGCTGTGAGCTCGTCCACCCATCTAAGCAATAATAAAAAAAGAAACATTTGAAATGGAATGGAATATAGGAGATTTCAAGCCTACTGCTAGATACCGTGGTGTTCATTTATAGTGTATTTCCCAATATTTTTTCTGCCATAAGCTTCCATAAGCTCAAGTATTGAATCCCATGGTATTTCTTAAGCAGTTTAACATATGCTTGTTTAAATATGGTTTTTATTGGTGGTAGGACCTTTTGTGAGTCCGCGCGGGTGGGTACCACCACCCTGCCTATTTCTGCCGTGAAGCAGTAATGTGTTTCGGTTTGAAGGGTGGGGCAGCCATTGTAACTTACTTGAGACCTTAGAACTTATATCTCAAGGTGAGTGGCGCATTTACGTTGTGGATGTCTATGGGCTCCAGTAACCACCTAACACCAGGTGCGCTGTGAGCTCGTCCACCCATCTAAGCAATAAAAAAAAGCACTACACTGCTGTAGGCAGTCGTTTCAATTTTTTTAAGTCTTGAACTGCAATGTGCTTCTAAAACCACTTGCTGATTTGCTGATATGATAAGGCTACTTTTGTGAACGTAATAAAAAAATATGTATAAATAAGTATTTACCCAAACAATTTTTTTGTTTCAGACTCACGATGCCTGTGAAGAAAACAGTGCCAAAAACATCATAGAGACTACAAAATGAAGCCAACACATATTATAATACTGTGAATAAAACTCATGACAACGAAACCCCATCCGACAGCAGACCAAATAAAATAATGGGTCTTCAAAGGTGATAATTATAGAAAATGGCCAACGAAAGACTGCCATTGCACATTTGTAATTCAATTAAACAATACGTTACACAAATCAGAATAACTAAACAATTATCAATCCAAGATAAAGTCAATCTGCTGATATTGCTGGTATTGCTCTTAACCCAAAATAGTATGTGCAACGGATTTAACAGCCGTAATTCGATGCTGAGGACCAGAGTAATCGGCACTCGCTACGGAAAACTCCAAGGGGTAATTTTACCTATGGATCAGCACAAGTACTTGAAACCTGTCGAGGCGTACCTCGGGGTGCCATATGCCACACCACCCACAGGCTCTAACAGGTATGTGATGAGAATTTGCTGCTATAATTAACTACTTAACTAAACGTCAGGACCAAAGGATTCTACACTGATAAGGCTGTAAGGCTCAATAACAAAGGAGAGGGTTTATGACTCCGGCAACTTCTAGCTGCTGGTGGTATATTTCGACTTCCTCCCCTATCAACTTGTCCTTCATAAGCTGTTCTAAAATACGAATTATCCTGATCCCAAGGAATTTTAATTATTAATATGTGAACTTACTTTATACTGGCCTCAATCCATAGATACTATGGCCACGCTATGGCCACCCAAAAAACAAAGACTCCATGATATAAACACTATAACTTTTCCTACTGCTAGTTTTTAATGTTATTACAAACTACTACTACCTACTGTATAACTGTGGGCAGTTGGAGATCAAAATTCGCTCAACTAATCAGCTCACAATTTATATAAATTGTGACGTAATTAATTGAAGGCGGTTGGATACTTTTTTTTAGAATTTCAGCCACTGTTTTCTTTCAATTTTCGGTCAGGCATTAAAAGCAGTCGACCGTTGAAGATGATAAAATAATTATGAGTAATGTAGTGCCATTAATGAGTCGTTAGCTTTTTGGATATTCGAAGCGAAAAGCTATTTTTTATTTTAATTGAATTGGCCAGTTTTTTTAGTTTTACAGATGAGCCCAATCAAGTTGACTTCACTTTTAGAGCAAAGTAGTAAAATACAGCTAGCTCCATTACTACAGTGATTAGTGTCTCTGACCCCTATGCTACAGGAATCAGGTTAATTGCCGAGTCGAAATCAGTTTATTTTATATTTTGTATTTAGAGTTCGAATTTGTTAATATTCATAACGCAGGCAATAATTTTAGCATGGGCCTATCCAATGTGGGAGTTTGATTTTTTTATTTGTTTGATATAGGAGACCAAATGAAGAGAGTGAGAGAGTGAGATATAGAAAATAGGTATATAGTAGGTGGAAGAAACGGATATTGCATACACGTGTCTTCGGATTAATAGCAGAACAGACTATATTGACGTATGTGCCTCTGGCTTTTAACAACACTATAGTTATCTTAGCCAAATTTACTTAAAGCAACACATGCTAAATGGGCTAAATGTATATTATGGGTTGATGATATATTTTCTCAAAGGAAAATAAACTATTTGAGCTGTGTAGTGTACGAATATGTTATTTGTATTATAGGCCACAAATTTATTTGAGAGAAGGCTGTCTGTTAATTTAACCACATAAACCATTTTTTCGGGAGGGTGATTTAATTAGTGGCTTTTAAAATTTTATTGGTTACGGCGAAATCCAATTAAGGATTTTTTTAATTGATGCCCGGCAGGACGTTTTTGGTACAGACGAAACGGGAGTGTAATTAACAAAATGTTGTTTTACGGAAATTTCTCTAAATATTAATTGAGCCCGAAAATACTAAACAATAATACATATTATTATATTACATCATCATCATCATTATCCTGCCCTTCTCCCAGTCACCTGGGGTCAGCGCAACATGTTTTCTCCTTCCATACTCTTCTATCATATACCATTTCTTCACTCACTCCCCTCCTGCCCATATCGTCTTTCACACAATCCATCCATTTCTTCTTAGGTCTACCTCTTCCTCTAAATCCTTCCACATTCATAGTTAACACTCTCTTAACAACCTCATTTACATTCCGTCTCATCACATGTCCATACCATCCTAAACGTGCACTCCTCAGCTTCTCTGTCACAAGTGCCACTTTCAGACTTCCTCTAACATATTCATTCCGTATTCTATCCATTCTCGTTACTCCACACATCCATCGCAACATTCGCATCTCTGCTGCATGCAATCGCCTTTCATCCGCCACTTTCGTTGTCCAACAAGCTGATCCATACAAGACGGCAGGCCTTATTAAGGTCTTATATATCTTCCCTTTTAGGGGAAGAGGGATGTGCGAGTCACATATGGTGCCCGTGACCTGTATATTATTATATTACATATTCTGGAATAAACAAGCAATGGCGGATATAAAGAACCATCTTGCTAACCAATCTCTTCTAGACAACCACTAAGCTGTAATACTGATATATAGACATACCATCTCAATCTAGATGACGGTATTCACGTTTTGATTTCCATGGTGCGCCTGTAACTTCTTAACGCATGCAGGCCATAAGCATGTTCAATCATCTATGGAAAAAAAGTTATCTGCAGTGGATATTAGTGTAACTTAGTGTTGAGGACTCATGACCTCACTTCACACTAGACAAAAGTTAGTTAGAGGGTTTTTAAAGAGTAGAAATAAGACGATTCTACACATATTTTAACAATGTGTATGTATATTGTTGAGCTAATAGGAGTCCACGCTATTAAATACCACCTTCCTCTTTTTTCGGTATGACAGCCGCTGTGCAATTTTCATGTTCCAAAGCTTGTGGCAGCACTGACGTTCTTACGCAACTCAACACCCGGTTAGCCACGAGCTTGTATACTCATTTAGAACAATGAAAACATAACGGACATAATTATCTAATCTGTATAGTTTTTCAAGTTCAACGTTGGATATGCGTACCTTCTGACCAATGCAATCCAGACTATTCCCTTAAAAAACCTGTAGGTTCTGCTGTGACTAATTGACTCGTTTGTTTAAAGATTTGCACCAACACGAGCTCCAGCACCATGGGATGAGGTGAAAATGGTGGACCAAATGGGACCAGTCTGCCCACAGAGACTGCCGGATATTTCGAACGAGACCTTAGCTTTAGAGAGAATGCCAAAGGGACGGCTGGAATACTTAAGGAGATTGCTTCCTCGGCTTAAGAATCAGAGTGAAGACTGTCTATATATGAACATCTATACACCAGTTCAAGGTAAGTAATTACAACAGTGAAACAAACGTGCAACCCACCCTACTCTTAAACCAGCACACCTGAAGATCTTAAAATGAGAGCTATTCATCTGTAAGTACCGTTGGTATTGCATGTTGTGCGCTCGTATACATTAGTACTACCAATATTATCATTTTCGGTGAGAAATTTATAGGTTTCGGTCAGCAAAGCTATTTTTAAAGTTGATAAAGATGCTAACGTTTTGGTATCTTTGGGGCAGGACCCCAAACGGGATAACGGGATAACGGGATAACAGAAGCTCATCTACCAGTTTACGCCAGTAAAATAACCCAGCAAATTAAATATCTTCGTAGCATGACGATACTTTTTATATTTATCTCTAAGCATACATGTTCTTAGTGGAATTTAAATTCAAGGCACGATCCCCTAAGAATGTCTTCGGGTTCATATTATTTCTGGCGCGGTTTCAAACAAAGTGTTCGGGTTGACGGGACACGATCGTACACTCATATTGCAGCGATCGAAGTGTGGGCTGTGTGTAGAAACATTCTAACACACGTTTTCATAGATCCCTTCGAAATATTCGCCTACGTATTATTTTTTTGACATCATTTGGTAGGTGTGTTTTTTTGTGTTGTTTTTTTTCTTCTTCTTTCAATCGAAAACGATCTTGTACCAAAGGCACATTATATTATTACTAGAGGTCCCGCAGTAGTCGAAATTCGACTATAATTAATTGGAATTGTAAGTTTGTACACTATTATGATTGTATTTTATACTTCTATAATCACAAATTTCGCCAAGACAACACTATATAAAATATTAACAAAGACAAACAATATTTAATCTATTCTCAATTTGACAACAGACGTCAAGAACAAAAGTTTGACAATAAATAGTATGCATGCATGTGTGCGTCAAATACATGGTCTGTAGTGTGTGTAATGTTTTCTGTATTGATTTAATGTAACTTTTATGCATTATTAAAAAAAAAAATTAGCATTATGCACTTCTTCTCTATATTCTCTATAAGTGTGGAAAATTTCATAATCCTCCGTCCGCGCAATTTTCGTAAAAAGGGATACAAAGTTTTTGCTTCACGTATTAATATATAGATAGCTGCCTGCCTACGCAGAGATTTTGAATGTTTGACTCCTACTGGAATGAAGGCCTTCCAATACCTTAGTCTTTTAGGCTAGCCTCACGAGGCTCAGCCTAGCGAATTGACTAACACTAGCCCTAAACGAACAGTGCTTTGCAGAATCTACCACCAGATCGAAAACGCGACTCTTTGAGACAAAACAGCGAGAAACTAATCTTTAACTGCGTTTTATGTTACTGAAAAGAAATAGCAGCACTATTTTCCTGGATATTGTTCTCTATTACGTGACTTTATCATTTTATCGATATATTGGAACTTGAAAATATACTTGTCTCTCTTTGAATGTGTTTGTTGTACGAGGAGTACCCCAAAGTCTAGTAGGAATGGTTTTGTTGGCATTGTAATTTTGATAACTATCTAAACTTGTTACCCGCTTTATTCAAAACAAATGGACTAAAATGACAAAAGTTAATTCTTCTATTTCATACTGAAGTAATATAATTTTCCTCGTAATTTTGTATTTTTCGTTATTATGTACATTCTAATGTAATCTTAATTAATCGTGTTATTTCCTATTTCACTTATTTAGCGTCCATATGTATTCGTTATGTCATCTTAATACCCAACCCGAATGGAGACCAAATGCTGAGCGTTGGATGTATGTCACGTACGAAAACGGTTCCCCTACTTTTGGCATGCGGAACATCGTTTCTGAATAGTAATGATAAAAATATTTGAATTTCGTAAGTTTATTTTTAAAAAAATCGGCTTTTTTTATTTGGATATTTGTTTTTCACGTTATTGTAGCGCATACAAAGATATAAAAATTGTTTCTATTTTAACTTATTAAGAACATTTCAACAGAAAAATAAGAACAGAAAGTAGACCGAGTCTCAAGAATTGTCAAAGAGTACCATAGACTAAGTACTAATTAACCTATAACCAAAAAACATGAAAGTTACTGCTTGAGTGACGCTGTATACTTTGAAATACCAGGTCTCCGTTGCATTAACACAACGACTTTAATTCATATTGGAGTGTAGGTTGGCTTTGCGGAAAGAAAATGGACAATGATAATACCCAGCGAACGGGTTAACCAATACTTGAGATAGGAGTTGGGTGGTTGAGAAATAGAAATTTAGAAAGAAACTCATTTATGGACAGTACTGCTCTCAGGAATCTATGATAAAGAAGAAGTAACAGTAATTTATATAGATTTGGTTGGCATTATCCCGATTCCTATGATTTTATGTCATATTATAAAACAATAGGTGATAATTTTCAAACTTAAACTCTTAATATTGGGAAATAAAGGGCATTGGGACATCAAGGGGCATGAAATTTCAAATAATAGCTTGGTAGAGACGAAGGTAAAATAATAAGATATATATTAAGATAAAAAGAAAAACTTTAACGTCCTTTAGCTATGCCAGAAGTGAGAATAGCTCTGTTATATCAGAAAAAACATATTTAGAAATAATAACAAGCTTTTAGGAATTTTTAGGAGACAACAAAACAGTAGTATAATCACTCAATATTGTTTTCTTTGAATATGCCCCAGAGCTAAAGCCTCAATAAAAGTACAAATATCCCATCAAAAGGACGTAGTCAAACTTTTATTATTTTTAGATAGTTTACAAATAAATAAATCGTCTGTCGTTCCAAGTTCGTTATTGTGGTAGGGGTTCTGACCCATTTCGACTTTTCCTTATGTAATGTTGTTGACAAAAACCTTTTTCTCTCTCTCTTGTTCAATTTGTGATGTTTTGTCTTTTAGAACAATTGCGCAATTTAAAGGAGATTGGACTGGTAGGGTAAGTAAGGGTTGAAAAACTTTGCTTTAAGTTCGGGTCAACACATTTATTTATTTCTACTTGAAAACACTATCCTTAGAGTAAGACACAATAAGATAACACGTCATTGTAAACCAGGAAATATATTAAAAGAACACAGTTAAAATGACCAAAACATACTATATGAAGACCTATCTTGTAGATTAATTCATAGAGCAGCAATACAGAGAGATGAGTTTTGTGTGGACAAGGAGGTGCGTCGTTGAAGTGAAACTAAAAACGGCATGGTGTGATAGACTATATTACCCAAAAAGTGATCCTCCACTGTACTATATATGAGACCGCCAACCGTAAAAGTGACCTAGGCTTACCATAGTTAGATAGAGATAGTGAGGTATGAATTTACTTTTACATGGCTTCGTAGCAAAAAACAATTCGCGCAAAAATAATTTTTACAAAGCCATCTGTTGTTTATGTGTGAAACTAGGGATAAGCCGTTTTTGTATCTAAATTTATTATGTTTTAAATAAATTGCAATTTATAAGCACGAATATGAAAAATTGTGGGTTAGGCCACTTTTACGCTGACGGCCTCATATACTAGGGACATTCTTTACATGGCATTTACTTTAAAATATCTCAGCTGCATGAGCTACATACCGTTTCCGTAAAGATTTAAATCAACACATTAAGGTCTATTACTAGTACTACTATTCAAAGATAAAGAAAATTCTAAAAAGCTGAAATATACTAGACATAACCTTGATTCGTACTCCAACCCTGACAACGTGTAACGGGTCATTGAACTCGCGTGATCCAATACATTCGAATTCAAGCGTCGAATGTCGAGGTTATTGTTTTGTGTAAAAAAATCGGTGACATTTTCACGTCTTTTTTTTTGTTTTTTTTTCGAAATAGTTTCACGGAACCGATTCTGTTAGTATAAACTGAAAGTGTTAAACAATTGAATACCGATTTTGTACCAAACCTTTTTTAGAACTGACCTTTTACTGTAAATAGGCTGTTATCGAGTTACATCTAGTATTAAGTGGTTATCAGAGTCCATAGACCAGGTCAAAAACTAAATATTTTGTAAAACAGCTGTTCGTCTGAGACCCGAAAATCCCGGTTCAAACTGAAACCCATTACTGTTTCGCGGCAGAAATACCCTAGGATAGTACCCATTCGAGAATACATTACATCCTACCGAAAATAAAAATTAATGACCACAATAACCTGACCTATTGGGACACGAGTTCTAAGTCTCAATTTTTGCAGTACAACGGCTGCCTTACCTTTCAAACCGAAACTCTGCTTCTCGTCATCAACAGCGAAAATAAGGGTCAGCCTACGGAGTTTCTCGCCGGATCTTCTCGCCTTTCTGATCAGGTGGTAGATTCTGGGAAGCACGACTCTTGCTAGGGTTCACGTTAGCAACGTCATCAGGTTTGAGCCCCGTGAGCTCACCTACTAGCTCGGTGACGCCGATATGGTATCTCTCTGACCATCAGATTATGTAGGAAAAAAACCACAATTGCTTACCTAATCAATCGTACTATAGTAATAGTTCATTGTCTGCAATATATGAAGCGACAGCAACTGCTTTTGACAGGTTTTTTCAGTACTCCGCAGAGTCGCAATTTCGCGAAATTGGTTTTGGATTGGTTTTTAGTGTCCATTCCGTTTGGTATATTGAACCTGCAGTGCTTTTTTCATTGAGGCTCTCTGTGAGCACAGTATTTATTTAGGAAAATTTGTATATTCCCCTTGTGTAAGCTGGAGGTAAGTCGCAAGATTCAATACGAAGACAATTACTTAGCGATTACGTCACAGGCAGTCCAATGAAGCGCGATTGAGTAAGATTGGCAGTATGTAAGGTATTCATTGGAATTTTTTGCATTAGTAAAATTTTAATAATAAACTTTTTCTCATACAATGTCATAGCACGTACGGACAGATCTCTTTGAATTGTTCCAAGCGTCCGTATCCTATAGGTTAAAATTCGATGATACCATGTAAGCATACCGTTTGTAATCTTAGTAAAAGTTTTTGTTTAAAATAGGTATCTAACTATTTTTCATGATATTTTTTTTCAAAATAACATAATAACGTCATAACATAAATAAC